AAGCGCCCACGGCGATATTTGCAGATATATAGGCTGGTGAAGAATCCAAATTAGCACCCCTTCCGATTGATCAATGTACACAAGACTTATTTAAACGCGTATAATACACACTCGTGTGTTATATGCACCCTTAATTATGGGCAATTAAATTCTGGGAAAATATATCTGTCGTACATAAACATTTCAGGCTGTCACCATAAAACACGAAATTTATCTTTCAACTCTGTTTTTTTCACCAAAATAATATTCTAATAAGAGCCCCCAATTTCTAATTTTGAGAGCGCACTGGGCGCTTATTACGTCGAATACGGTATGCCTGGCGAATCTTATTGCGTTTTAGTTCCCATCACCATGGGGTCCGAGTTGACTGCTTTTTTCTGTCAGCTTCCCAGATGGCGTTAACGATCACGTGATAAAATAGGCGTTTTCGCTCAGTTTAGTTCTTTATGAAACATTGAGAAATCAGGTAAATTGATTTTGGAATTCAGATTTTTCTCCGACATCGGACTTTTGAACTGGTCCCTAACATGTGCCTGATGGTATGATATCTATGACATTTGTTCTAAAATTGGGACACTTGGCATCTGAGACACGTCGAATCTCAGACACCTGGCATCTGACACCTGGCATCTCAGACACCTGGCGTATCAGGCACCTGGCATCTGACACCTGGAATCTCAAACATTTGACATCTGACCCCTGACATCTCAGACACCTGCCATCTCAGAAACCTCGTATATCAGACACCTGACATATCAGACACCTGACATATCAGACACCTGACATCTCAGAAACCTTGTATATCAGACACCTGACATATCAGACACCTTACATCTCAGAAACCTCGTATATCAGACACCTGGCATCTCAGACACCTGGCATCTCAGACACCTTGAACCTCAGACACCTGGTATCTCAGAAATATCGTATATCAGACACCTGGCATCACAGACACCTGGCATCTCAGACACCTGGCATCAAAGACACCTGGCATCACAGACACCTGGTACCGCAGACACCTGGCATCTCAGACACCTGGTATATCAGACACCTTGTCCCTCAGACATCACAGACATCTGACATCTCTGACACCTGGCACCTCACACATCTGGCACCTCAGACATCTGTCATCAAAGACACCTTGAACCTCAGGAACCTGGCATCTCAGACACCCGGCACCCCAGACACCTCGCACCTCGGATACGTCGCTTCTCAGACATCTGGCATCTTAGACACCTGGAATCTCAGACACATCGCATCTCAGATATCTGTCATCACAGACACCTGGCATCAATGACACCCGGCAAGTCAGAAACCTGGCATCTCAGACACCTTGAACCTCAGACACCTGGCATCTGAGACACCTGGCATATCAGAAATCTGGCATCTCAGACACCTTGCACCTCAGACATCTGAAATCACAGACACATGGCTCCTCAGACAGCTTGCACATCAGACACCTGGCATCTTAAACACCTCGCACCTCAGATACGTCACACCTCAGACACCTGACATCTCCGACACCTTGCATCTCAAACACGTCGCATCTTAGTCACGTCGCATCTTAGACACGTCGCACCTCAGACACCTGGCATCCCAGACACCTGGCATCTCGGACACCTGGCATCTCAGACACCTAGAATGAGAGATACGTCACACGTCAGACACGTCGCATCTCAGTCACGTCGCATCTCAGTCACGTCGCATCTCAGTCACGTCGCATCTCAGACATGTCGCATCTCAGACACGTCGCATCTCAGTCACGTCGCATCTCAGTCACGTCGCATCTCAATCTCGTCGCATCTCAGTCACGTCGCATCTCAGTCACGTCGCATCTCAGTCTCGTCGCATCTCAGACACGTCGCATCTCAGTCACGTCGCATCTCAGTCACGTCGCATCTCAGTCTCGTCGCATCTCAGTCACGTCGCATCTCAGTCTCGTCGCATCTCAGTCACGTCGCATCTCAGTCACGTCGCATCTCAGTCACGTCGCATCTCAGTCACGTCGCATCTCAGACACGTCGCATCTCAGTCTCGTCGCATCTCAGTCACGTCGCATCTCAGTCACGTCGCATCTTAGTCACATCGCATCTCAGTCTCGTCGCATCTCAGACACGTCGCATCTCAGACACCTCGCATCACAGTCACGTCGCATCTCAGTCACATCGCATCTCAGTCACATCGCATCTCAGTCTCGTCGCATCACAGTCTCGTCGCATCTCAGTCTCGTCGCATCTCAGTCACGTCGCATCTCAGACACGTCGCATCTCAGTCACGTCGCATCTCAGATATCTGTCATCACAGACACCTGGCATCAATGACACCCGGCAAGTCAGAAACCTGGCATCTCAGACACCTTGAACCTCAGACACCTGGCATCTGAGACACCTGGCATATCAGAAATCTGGCATCTCAGACACCTTGCACCTCAGACATCTGAAATCACAGACACATGGCTCCTCAGACAGCTTGCACATCAGACACCTGGCATCTTAAACACCTCGCACCTCAGATACGTCACACCTCAGACACCTGACATCTCCGACACCTTGCATCTCAAACACGTCGCATCTTAGTCACGTCGCATCTTAGACACGTCGCACCTCAGACACCTGGCATCCCAGACACCTGGCATCTCGGACACCTGGCATCTCAGACACCTAGAATGAGAGATACGTCACACGTCAGACACGTCGCATCTCAGTCACGTCGCATCTCAGTCACGTCGCATCTCAGTCACGTCGCATCTCAGACATGTCGCATCTCAGACACGTCGCATCTCAGTCACGTCGCATCTCAGTCACGTCGCATCTCAATCTCGTCGCATCTCAGTCACGTCGCATCTCAGTCACGTCGCATCTCAGTCTCGTCGCATCTCAGACACGTCGCATCTCAGTCACGTCGCATCTCAGTCACGTCGCATCTCAGTCTCGTCGCATCTCAGTCACGTCGCATCTCAGTCTCGTCGCATCTCAGTCACGTCGCATCTCAGTCACGTCGCATCTCAGTCACGTCGCATCTCAGTCACGTCGCATCTCAGACACGTCGCATCTCAGTCTCGTCGCATCTCAGTCACGTCGCATCTCAGTCACGTCGCATCTTAGTCACATCGCATCTCAGTCTCGTCGCATCTCAGACACGTCGCATCTCAGACACCTCGCATCACAGTCACGTCGCATCTCAGTCACATCGCATCTCAGTCACATCGCATCTCAGTCTCGTCGCATCACAGTCTCGTCGCATCTCAGTCTCGTCGCATCTCAGTCACGTCGCATCTCAGACACGTCGCATCTCAGTCACGTCGCATCTCAGTCACATCGCATCTCAGTCTCGTCGCTTCTCAGACACGTCGCATCTCAGTCACGTCGCATCTCAGTCACGTCGCATCTGAGTCTCGTCGCATCTCAGTCACGTCGCATCTCAGTCACGTCGCATCTCAGTCACGTCGCATCTCAGTCACGTCGCATCTCAGTCACGTCGCATCTCAATCTCGTCGCATCTCAGACACGTCGCATCTCAGACACGTCGCATCTCAGACACGTCGCATCTCAGTCACATCGCATCTCAGTCACGTCGCATCTCAGTCACGTCGCATCTCAGACACGTCGCATCTCAGTCACGTCGCATCTCAGACACGTCGCATCTCAGTCACCTCGCATCTCAGTCACGTCGCATCTCAATCTCGTCGCATCTCAGACACGTCGCATCTCAGACACGTCGCATCTCAGACACGTCGCATCTCAGTCACGTCGCATCTCAGACACGTCGCATCTCAGACACGTCGCATCTCAGACACGTCGCATCTCGGACACCTGATATCTCAGACACCTGACATCTCAGACACCTCGCATCACAGACACCTCGCATCTCAGACACCTGGTACCTCAGACACCTGACATCTCAGACACGTCGCAACTTAGTCACGTCGCATCTCAGACACCTCGCATCTCAGTCACGTGGCACCTAAGACACGTCGCATTTCAGATACATCGCCTCTCAGACAAATGGCATCTCAGACACCTCCGATCTCAGACACGTCGCATCTCAGACACCTCGCATCTCAGACATCTAAAAGCAATTATAACAATGGCAAAAAATAACAAATACTCATCTCGCATCAACGATTTATATAAAACCTGTCAACAAAGGACAGTACATCAATAAGTATGGTATCACGTGTATCGTCATGAAAGATATATATAGTGTCATGAGATATAAAATGCTATGGTAGATGCATTGTATCATCATACGTGTACAGTGTCACCGGATATACAATAAACTGGAGTACCAGTTTTAATTCGTTATAACCGTAGTTCGTTATAAGCATATATACAACATATACAGCAAATGGCCGGGACCAAAAATATGTTTCGTTATATCCGTCAGTTCGTTATAATCATGTTCGTTATAAACATAGTGTACTGTATGTGTTTTATCATGGGGTATATAAAGTGACATGACAAAATCATAAAATAGATTGTTCTCATGGTATACACAAGAAGTCTATCGTTGAGTAACCATGCTGATGTTGTTTATCCAAAATATGTCGCTCCTTCTTTAAGAGAAGGTGACCCAGTCATTTAAGGCGTCGCGATTCGCTGTGCAGAGTTGCGTCCCTTGGGCACGCCAGAAACCAATGATTGTGGGTTCGAATCCCGGTTCGCCCCGATTATGTTTCTTGATTTGCCAGCACCATACCCGTGCTCGTGGGTTTCACCGAAGTGGTAAACGTGTGTGACCTGCATCACTTCGGGCTTTCCTCCCACATTAAGCTGACACACCGTGATATAACTGGAATACTGTTAAAAGCGGCGTTAAACCCAACTTACTCACTCACTCAGTCACTCTTTCAGAGAAAATAAAGGTTTGCAAGGAAGCGCGAAGCACAGATGTTTAAAAAACTGAATACAAATTGAATTAAAATTCAGGAAACTACAAATGTGAGCATATTGTCCTGCTTGGGATACCTTAATGATTTAGTAATGACGTCATATCTACAGAGTCACATTGCGTCCGAGCCACTGACCATAACGGAGACGGAGTCCTCTCGCAATCGGACGACGCTGACTGCACGCTGTACTACGAGTGTTATGAGACCTACCACGTGGTCAAAAGGTGCCCCTGTCCCAAGGTTTGGCAACAGTCCACGGAGTCCTGCATTGACTACTCGTGCATGCCTGGTGAGTTGTGGATAGTGTTTTGTATGTTGTTTATCGCCGCACTCTCTCTGCAATATTCCAGCTCCTTGAGGGCGGTCTGTAAGTGGGGACGGGGGAAGTGCGGGTGTGCGGGTGTGCGGGTGTGCGGGGGTGGGTATTACATTGTTTTTTATTAATTATGTCTCGTCACTGTTGTGTTATTTAAACTAATGAATTCGTTGATATTGTTTGACCGTATTTTTGTCAGTGTTTTATATATCATTAGGTCAATGCACGTATGTGTTAAACATGGGAATATTAATTTTTATATTTGGTTCCATAATAAAATAGGCTCATAATAATTGTATTTTGGAAAATTAAAAACAAACTATATTATGGGCGTAATATATGACGTAGGGGCACATATGATTTTTATGAACCCCGATATGTTTTCCCTCGTAGGTAATAAAAAGAATTCTAATGACACCCGTGCCTAAATTCGAGTATTTCACTCGCTCTCGCTCGCGAAATACCGACACTCGTGTCGTAAACAAAGTATGACTTGAAAGCTCATACAATATCCTCTATTTATTACCTGCGAGGGCAAACATATCGGGGCTCATAAAAATCATATGTGCCCTCTGGTCAAATCTCGTCACGAGATAACAATGTATTGTTTCCGTCATCCGGACGGCATTGGTGACGTCATTCGAATCTTATTGTGACGTGAGGTCGGAATGACGTCACACCAGAAACGACGTCATAGCTGAAGTCATTCGACACATTGTGGTTCCACTGCTGTTTCGACTTACTGTCCTCATAGGTAAACACTGAAATTCGAATCTGTATGTAGATATCTTCAGGTAATAAATCGAACATTATATTCGTGTTCATGCCATCCTATGTTTACGACACGCGTGCCTAAATTCCGGTATTTCCCTCGCTCTCGGCTGGAATTTAGACACTCGTGTAGTAAACATAGTATGACATGAGCAGAAGTATAATATCACCTATGTAACGTGTCATCTCTTAATGATACATTCGATACATGTGTCTGGGGATGATATTGTTCAAGGGTTGTGTAAAAAGATGTAGGGTCATAGTTAATTAATGATGTGTTTAATTAAAAGTTATCTGTTTATCAGATTAAGCTGAAAAAATATCTCGCCTCCTAACCAGATCCCCCCCCCCCCCCCCCCCCCCCCCCTTTCCCCTAGGTAATCAAACGGACATTTCCTTATATCTTTGTTGTATTTCTTACAGAATCTTCCAATATCCCCTGCACTATCGCTGTGACTGGGTTCGACCTCGCGCTGTACGACACGAGCGGAGGGCATCTGCTGAACGTCGAGCCTCAGGTCTCAGCAACAGTGTTTGATCCGTTCATGGATCGACTTGTATTTGCCGGCGAGTCAACCGTGAAAGATAGTAACTCAAACGGAACAGAGGTGGATCTGATAGCCGACCTAGGTAGGGGCATGATGTTGTATAGCCGACCTAGGTAGGGGGGAGGTGTTGTATAGCCGACCTAGGTAGGGGCATGATCTTGTATAGCCGAACTAGGTAAGGGCGTGATGTGTATAGCCGACCTAGGTAGAGGGGAGATGTTGTATAGCCGACCTAGGTAGGGGCGTGATGTTGTATAGCCGAACTAGGTAGGGACATGATGTTGTATAGCCGACCTAGGTAGGGGCATGATGTTGTATAGCCGACCTAGGTAGGGGCGTGATGTTGTATAGCCGACCTAGGTAGGGGCGTGATGTTATATAGCCGACCTAGGTAGGGGCATGATCTTGTATAGCCGACCCAGGTAGGGGCGTGATCTTGTATGGCCGACCTAGGTAGGGGCTTGATGTTGAATAGCCGACCTAGGTAGGGGCGTGATCTTGTATGGCCGACCTAGGTAGGGGCTTGATGTTGAATAGCCGACCTAGGTAGGGGCATGATGTTGTATAGCCGACCTAGGTAGGGCGTGATGTTGTATAGCCGACCTAGGTAGGGGCGTGATGTTGTATAGCCGACCCAGGTAGGGGCGTGATCTTGTATAGCCGACCTAGGTAGGGGCGTGATGTTGTATAGCCGACCTAGGTAGGGGCGAGATGTTGTATAGCCGACCTAGGTAGAGGGGAGGTGTTGTATAGCCGACCTAGGTAGGGGCGTGATGTTATATAGCCGACCTAGGTAGGGGCGTGATGTTGTAAAGCCGACCTAGGTAGGGGCGTGATGTTGTATAGCCGACCTAGGTAGGGGCATGATCTTGTATAGCCGACCTAGGTAGGGGCGTGATCTTGTATAGCCGACCTAGGTAGGGGCGTGATGTTGTATAGCCGACCTAGGTAGGGGCATGATGTTGTATAGCCGACCTAGGTAGGGGCGTGATGTTGTATAGCCGACCTAGGTAGGGGCGTGATCTTGTATAGCCGACCTAGGTAGGGGCGTGATGTTGTATAGCCGACCTAGGTAGGGGCATGATCTTGTATAGCCGACCTAGGTAGAGGGGAGATGTTGTATAGCCGACCTAGGTAGGGGGTAGCCGATCTATGTAGGGGGTAGATGTTGTACAGCCGATCTAAGTGGGGGTAGCCGATCTAAGTAGGGGGTAGATGTTGTATAGCCGATCTAAGTAGGGGGTAGATGTTGTATAGCCGATCTAAGTAGGGGGTAGATGTTGTATAGCCGATCTAAGTAGGGGGTAGCCGATCTAAGTAGGGGGTAGATGTTGTATAGCCGATCTAAGTAGGGGGTAGATGTTTTACAGCCGAACTATGTAGGGGGCAGATGTTGTATAGCCGATCTAAGTAGGGGGTAGATGTTGTATAGCCGATCTATGTAGGGGGTAGATGTTGTATAGCCGATCTAAGTAGGGGGTAGCCGATCTATGTAGGGAGTAGATGTTGTATAGCCGATCTATGTAGGCGGTAGATGTTGTATAGCCGATCTAAGTAGGGGGTAGCCGATCTAAGTAGGCGGTAGAGGTTGTATAGCCGATCTAAGTAGGGGGTAGATGCTGTACAGCCGATCTATGTAGGGGGCAGATGTTGTACAGCCGATCTATGTAGGGGGTAGGTGTTGTATAGCCGATCTAAGTAGGGGGTAGCCGATCTATGTAGGGAGTAGATGTTGTATAGCCGATCTATGTAGGGAGTAGATGTTGTATAGCCGATCTATGTAGGGGGTAGATGTTGTATAGCCGATCTAAGTAGGGGGTAGATGTTGTATAGCCGATCTATGTAGGGGGTAGATGTTGTATAGCCGATCTAAGTAGGGGGTAGACGATCTAAGTAGGGGTAGATGTTGTATAGCCGATCTAAGTAGGGGGTAGACGATCTAAGTAGGGGTAGATGTTGTATAGCCGATCTATGTAGGGAGTAGATGTTGTATAGCCGATCTATGTAGGGGGTAGATGTTGTATAGCCGATCTAAGTAGGGGGTAGCCGATCTAAGTAGGGGGTAGAGGTTGTAGAGCCGATCTATGTAGGGGGTAGATGTTGTATAGCCGATCTATGTAGGGTCGTGGTGTTGTACAGCCCAACTATTTCTTTTTACTAATTGTTCTATTCAGTTAGATCCAATAGGGTAATTAATTGCGCTGTACATAAAAATATATAAAAAACATATAAGAAACCTAATCATTTACAAGGACATCACTTGGCAAATATTTGGTTTGTAGTTGTCACCTCGTATTTTGATTGGTCTTTGAAGATATAGGATAATTTCTCCAGCGATATGATGAGGGTAACGCTATTATCATGTTCAGAAGGCCGAGGAGGGCGGTTGAAAAGACCGAGGGCTTCTGCAAAGAATAATGCCCTGAAAAATAGCGGTACCGTTATTATAGCTAAAATGGATGGAATTTGTTACCAAATAAAATGAACCAACAATATCGGTTTTGAAACATTTACTGCAATCAACACGAATGTCAGTGACCCACTTTTACAAATATAGAAACGTCATAAAACAAACCAGATGGCGTCACTATCGAACGAGACGTCACCTATCCCTCTCCTATGACGTCACCTAGCAACGGGCGTGATAATGGCCCATCGTCAAGCAATATGAGGGCATTATCAAGTTACAGTGGCCTGCTCATTTCTGATAACATGCGGGCGGTTTAATGGTAATTCTATCCATTTTAGCTTTTATGACTCTTACAATCGACCTTTGATCAAGATCTACCATTAAAGCATTGTTATTCAACACTGATTGCTTAATGTCCAGGTATTGATGTCGACTATATGGCGATGGGCGAGGACCTATTTCTTGTGTCTGGCAATAAAGTGTATCAGCTGGATGGAGTGAATGCAACCACCAAGTTGCTAGTTACTGCAACCGCCCCCATCCGTGATATACGTTACAATCCAAACGACAAGTAAGTCCACTGAGAGTGAGTGAGTAAGTTTGTTTGTTTGTGTGTTTGTTTGTTTGTTTGTTTGTTTGTTCAACGCCAACCTCAGCAATACACCAGGGGTGCGTTGCAAAGCGCCAATCACTTGCAAGCGATGTACAGCGATTCGCCTTACAACAGTGCGCTAACTTTCAGACGCTTGCAAGCGAAGCAATTGCTGGCTGAGGTCGCTTCGTTCTCAAACCAATATGGCGGCTTACTTTGACAGCGGAACAAGAAATTCTTGATTCAAAGGCAGCTAACAGCCAATCATCCTCAGCCTGCTCTACATCTTCAAAGTAGTCATAAATTCCATCAGTTCGTCATCGAGGCTCTTCCATTACGTTCTTCATTCCGTCAAGGCAACCAAGCGCTAGTTGCGCCGCCATTTTGGAACAGTGCGCAAACGCTTCGAACTGCTGCAGACACCGGGATGAGCGATTAATTTGCTTTCTCTTAGCGGTTCGTGGCTTGCAACGCGCCCCAGCTGTGTGACTGCGGTCTTTTAATAATCGAGCCTGGGCCTGACAATCCAGTGATTCACATCATGAGCAACGGCATATGCAAATGGGATACGATGACATGCATCAACCAAGTCACCTAGTCTGGCAAACCGATCCCGTTTGTCGGCTCTTACAAGAATGGGTTTCTGAAGACCATTTCTAACCCAGATCTTCAAGTGAGTGAGTGAGTGAGTTTGGTTTTACGCCGCCTTTAGCAACATTCCAGCAATATCACGGCGGGTGACACCAGAAATGGGCTTCACACATTGTACCCATATCGGGAATCGAACCCGGGTCTTCGGCGTGACGAGCGAACGCTTTAACCACTAGGCTACCCGACCGCCCCCAACATCTTCAAGGCTTAGGGGGGTAAGGTGAGGTGAGGTGAGCCGACCAGTCCTTGTTTAAGCCCGTAAATGCCGAGCGCCAGACAGGGTAACAACAAGTACCATCTTTTAACGTCATTTTGTATGACGCGGTCGGGGATCGAACCCCGGACCTTCCGCTCTCCGGGCGGACGCTCCACCATTAGACCACGGAGGCGTTCTAGGGGGGTAAGTGAATGAGTTAGGTGTACTCCTCTCTTTCCTCAACCATAGCAGCCTGTCAGCTTTATGTGAGAGGAAAACGTGAAGTGATGCTCGTGCGTTTCACCAAGGTATTATATACCATATATACGATATGAGGATGGTTTATGTGGTATAAATCACGTTGATGAAACCCACGAGCATCGTGCTGATTGACCAAATTGAAGGATTTTGGTAAATCAGAAGCCACAATCAGCGGATCCAAGCACGGGTAAGGGAAGCAACTGAGGAGATCGTGTTAAGGCTCTTGAGACTACTGGGCCACCCAGCCCCCGGTCAGAATAGTGGTTGATATTATGAACAACGTCCCACGCAGTCGGGACATGAACCATTTTCTCGCCTCGCACGACAAGCATATGTTACTGTCGACATATTCTAGCGTTGAATTTCCACTTGGTATATTACAGTCAATGCGTAAAATATTTTCCCGTCAGATTGACTAAATGTTATTAAAGTTCAATGGGCTAAAAGTATAGCAATAGACTAAATATGCCGGATTAGAAGACATACAAGTAAAAAAGAATACACTGACTTCCTTTTTATTTTAATCCTGTCATTTTCCGTCACTGGTTGATGAAAAAGAGAAAATAAAGTTTGAAATTCGTTATAATACTATCACAAAGGGACAAATAATTGTTGACGGACTGAAATATTTAGGCGTTATGAAAACTGCCTTAGTGAAAATTTCAGTCATTGCACACATTGACGGAGTTTACACATTGATTGATAAAGTACTAATACAGTACTGATACAGTGCTGACACAGTGCTGATACAGTGCTGATACAGTACTGATACAGTACTAATACAGTACTAATACAGTACTGATACAGTACTGATACAGTGCTGACAGTGCTGATACAGTGCTGATACAGTGCTGATACAGTGCTGATACAGTACTAATACAGTACTGATACAGTACTGATACAGTACTGATAAAGTGCTGATACAGTCCTGATACAGTACTGATACAGTACTGATACAGTGCTGATACAGTGCTGATACAGTGCTGATACAGTACTGATACAGTGCTGCCCTGTCTGATGCAGTGCTGATACAGTGCTGATACAATGCTGATACAGTGCTGATACAGTGCTGATAAAGTGCTGATAAAGTGCTGATACAGTGCTGATACAGTACTGATACAGTGCTGCCCTGTCTGATGCAGTGTTGATACAGTACTGATACAGTGCTGATACAATGCTGATACAGTGTTGATACAGTGCTGATACAGTGTTGATACAGTGCTGATACAGTGCTGCCCTGTCTTATGCAGTGCTGATACAGTACTGATACAATGCTGATACAGTGTTGATACAGTGTTGATACAGTGCTGATACAGTGTTGATACAGTGCTGATACAGTGCTGATACAGTGCTGATACAGTGTTGATACAGTGCTGATACAGTGCTGATACAGTGCTGATACAGTGTTGATACAGTGCTGATACAGTGTTGATACAGTGCTGATACAGTGTTGATACAGTGCTGATACAGTGCTGATACAGTGCTGATACAGTGCTGATACAGTGTTGATACAGTGCTGATACAGTGCTGATACAGTACTGATAAAGTGCTGATAAAGTGCTGATACAGTGCTGATACAGTACTGATACAGTGCTGCCCTGTCTGATGCAGTGTTGATACAGTACTGATACAGTGCTGATACAATGCTGATACAGTGTTGATACAGTGCTGATACAGTGTTGATACAGTGCTGATACAGTGCTGATACAGTGCTGCCCTGTCTGATACAGTACTGATACAATGCTGATACAGTGTTGATACAGTGCTGATACAGTGTTGATACAGTGCTGATACAGTGCTGCCCTGTCTTATGCAGTGCTGATACAGTACTGATACAATGCTGATACAGTGTTGATACAGTGCTGATACAGTGTTGATACAGTGCTGATACAGTGCTGATACAGTGCTGATACAGTGCTGATACAGTGTTGATACAGTGCTGATACAGTGCTGATACAGTACTGATAAAGTGCTGATAAAGTGCTGATACAGTGCTGATACAGTACTGATACAGTGCTGATACAGTGTTGATACAGTGCTGATACAGTGTTGATACAGTGCTGATACAGTGCTGATACAGTGCTGATACAGTACTGATACAGTACTGATACAGTGCTGATACAGTGTTGATGCAGTGCTGATACAGTGCTGATACAGTACTGATACAGTGCTGATACAGTGTTGATACAGTGCTGATACAGTGCTGATACAGTACTGATACAGTACTGATACAGTGCTGCCCTGTCTGATACAGTGCTGATTCAGTGTTGATACAGTGCTGATACAGTGCATCCTTGTCTGATGCAGTACTGATACAGTACTGATACAGTGCTGATACAGTGCTGATACAGTGCTGATACAGTGCTGCCCTGTCTGATGCAGTACTGATACAGTGCTGCCTTGTCTGATGCAGTACTGATACAGTGCTGCCCTGTCTGATACAGTGTTGATACAGTGCTGATACAGCGCTGATACAGTGCTGCCTTGTCTGATGCAGTACTGATACAGTACTGATACAGTGCTGATACAGTGCTGATACAGTACTGATACAGTGCTGCCCTGTCTGATGCAGTACTGATACAGTGCTGCCTTGTCTGATGCAGTACTGATACAGTGCTGCCCTGTCTGATACAGTGTTGATACAGTGCTGATACAGTGCCGATACAGTGCTGCCCTGTCTGATACAGTGTTGATACAGTGCTGATACAATGCTGATACAGTGCTGATACAGTGCTGATACAGTGCTGCCTTGTCTGATGCAGTACTGATACAGTACTGATACAGTGCTGATACAGTGCTGACACAGTGCTGCCCTGTCTGATGCAGTTAACCTCTACTTTTGCAGACAGCTGTACTACCTGGTAGGCAATGGCGAGGATGCCGTGTACAGCTTCAACCCAAGTGATGACCCGATAACTGTGTCCAGCATCGAAGTTAACGGGCCACCCGACCACCTCGCCTTAAACGTTAATGGTGAGTGAGTGGGTAGCGTGTTAACGCAGCCGCTTTGAACCGAATTTAAATCATATCAAGGTCTGCGATGGCGGTCTCAGATCATTTGAGGAGAAGAGAAACAAACGGATTTTGAGCTGGCAATAATCTGGAGTGAGGGAGTGACTGAGAGAGCTGGGTTTAACAGTATTCCGTAGCAACCTGATTTGGGAGCAAAGCCCCAAGTGGTGCTGATCTTTGACGTTTCCCATTTCGTCGAAACCCCTGAGTATGGTGCTGACAGACCTAGAAACAGAATCAGAGGCGAACACAGTCATAGGTTTCTGACGCCTTAGATGACTCGGCCCTCCAGATTTTTAATCAATGTCATAGCTATTCACTGGACAGACGTTTCTCCTGACAAAAAAAAACTAGCAAAGGAATGGCCTATTCTTTTCGTCCCCTGCAAACCCCAAGCTTTCCAAGGACACCTTTTGGGTTGCATTTTATAGCAGCTTCATTCATTACCTTCTGACAGAGAGAGAAATATAATTGGGGTTGTATTGAAATAAAAAAATGTACAATTGCGGAAATATTGTTTTGATAATTATAGAATGTGTTTACCTGGGATTTCGTATGGAGCCTACATACTTTTAGTCGGGTACAGGTAAAACTATTCCAAAAATGTCAATTTTGTGGCAGAAAATTTGTTTTTCCAACTCAATGAAGCAACATTATTTTAAAAATCTAGGCACATTTTAAAATCCAACAGTACTTGATTCTAATCCTCCACAGTTAATGCATGGTTATATCATGGCACATATTCTTATGAGCAAACAACAAAACATATAACTTCATCATTTAATGACAAAAAATCAAAACTTATTGATTGTTAGTTGGCTTACAAACATATTTTTTCCATCAACATTTCTTTTCAAGCAACACAGTCATATTGTAGGTCTTGTTTATTTTCTTTGTCCAATACAACATGCTGTCACTTTGTTTCAGGGAAGCAATTCCAGCACAGTCCTCTTGTAGGTCTTGTTTGTCTTCTTTGTCCAATACAACATGCGGTCACCTTGTTTCAGGGAAGCAATGCCAGCACAGCCATCTTTTAGGTCTTGTTTGTCTTCTTTGTCCAATACAACATGCAGTCACCTTGTTTCTAGGAAGCAATGTCAGCACAGTCATCTTGTAGGTCTTGTTTGTCTTCTTTGTCCAATACAACATGCAGTCACCTTGTTTCTAGGAAGCAATTCCAGCACAGCCATCGCGTAGGTCTTGTTTGTTTTCTTTGTCCAATACAACATGCGGTCATCTTGTTTCAGTGAAGCAATTCCAGCACAGCCACCTTATAGGTCTTGTTTGTCTTCTTTGTCCAATACAACATGCGGTCACCTTGTTTCTAGGAAGCACTGCCAGCACAGTCCTCTTGTAGGTCTTGTTTGTCTTCTTTGTCCAATGCAACATACGGTCACCTTGTTTCAGTGAAGCAATTCCAGCACAGCCATCGTGTAGGTCTTGTTTGTCTTCTTTGTCTAATACAACATGCGGTCACCTTGTGCTAGGGAAGCAATGTCAGCACAGTCCTCTTGTAGGTCTTGTTTGTCTTCTTTGTCCAATACAACATGCAGTCACCTTGTTTCAGGGAAGCAATTCCAGCACAGTCCTCTTGTAGGTCTTGTTTGTCTTCTTTGTCCAATACAACATGCGGTCACCTTGTTTCATCGAGGCAATTCCAGCACAGTCCTCTTGTAGGTCTTGTTTGCCTTCTTTGTCCAATATAACATGCGGTCACCTTGTTTCATCGAGGCAATTCCAGCACAGTCCTCTTGTAGGTCTTGTTTGTCTTCTTTGTCCAATACAACATGCGGTCACCTTGTTTCATCGAGGCAATTCCAGCACAGTCCTGTTGTTGGTCTTGTTTGTCTTCTTTGTCCAATACAACATGCGGTCACCTTGTTTCATCGAGGCAATTCCAGCACAGTCCTCTTGTAGGTCTTGTTTGTCTTCTTTGTCCAATACAACATGCAGTCACCTTGTTTCATCGAGGCAATTCCAGCACAGTCCTCTTGTAGGTCTTGTTTGTCTTCTTTGTCCAATACAACATGCGGTCACCTTGTTTCATCGAGGCAATTCCAGCACAGTCCTCTTGTAGGTCTTGTTTGTCTTCTTTGTCCAATACAACATGCGGTCACCTTGTTCCAGGGAAGCAATGCCAGCACAGCCATCTTGTAGGTCTTGTTTGTCTTCTTTGTTCAATACAACATGCGGTCATCTTGTTTCAGGGAAGCCATGTCAGCACAGTCCTCTTGTAGGTCTTGTTTGTCTTCTTTGTCCAATACAACATGCGGTCACCTTGTTTCTAGGAAACAATGCCAGCACAGTCCTCTTGTAGGTCTTGTTTGTCTTCTTTGTCCAATACAACATGCGGTCACCTTGTTTCTAGGAAGCCATTCCAGCACAGTCCTCTTGTAGGTCTTGTTTGTCTTCTTTGTCCAATACAACATGCGGTCACCTTGTTTCTAGGAAGCAATGTCAGCACAGTCCTGTTGTTGGTCTTGTTTGTCTTCTTTGTTCAATACAACATGAGGTCACCTTGTTTCTAGGAAGCAATGCCAGCACAGTCCTGTTGTAGGTCTTGTTTGTCTTCTTTGTTCAATACAACATGAGGTCCCCTTGTTTCTAGGAAGCAATGCCAGCACAGTCCTCTTGTAGGTCTTGTTTGTCTTCTTTGTTCAATACAACATGCAGTCACCTTGTTTCTAGGAAGCAATGCCAGCACAGTCCTCTTGTAGGTCTTGTTTGTCTTCTTTGTCCAATACAACATGCAGTCACCTTGTTTCTAGGAAGCCATTCCAGCACAGTCCTGTTGTAGGTCTTGTTTGTCTTCTTTGTCCAATACAACATGAGGTCACCTTGTTTCTAGGAAGCCATGCCAGCACATGCGTGTGCATTTCAAAGAGCGCCATACGACTCTTGTTTCCAAATTCGACGCATCAGTGACAAAAATGATGTCGGGGCAATTCCCTATTTTGACTTGTACCATATGTTCCCATTTTTTTAGCTGAACAAGTGACTTGCCTTTGCATGTGTTTGTTACGGGTGCCACCGGTCGAGCAGGATACACTCACGTATTCACGAATACTTGTATCATGACTTTTTTGTAGTGATTCATAAACACATGCTCATGATATAGTCGGAATCGTACAATCGACTCTGCTTTATGCATACATTTCTAGGGTTTGGTCGCTATAGTTCTACTTTGTCTGGTATAACATGTGCTCCCTTTGTTTCAGAGAATGAACTGATTTACAACACAATCTCTGGCCTCTACAGGCATGAGATCGGCCACGAGGAAGGTCACGACGAGGAAGAGGGCCTGATCATGGCCGGTTTTCCCTATGTAACAGCCCTTTGTGCCTACAACAACAAAATCTATGACATCAGAGCCGGGTAAGATGCCGCTGTACTTGTTATACGGGATCTGTGAAGACCCGGGGTAGAATAGGTCTTCAGCAACCCATACTTGCCGTAAAAGGCGACTAAGCTTGTCGTAAGAGGCAACTATCGGGATCAGGTGGCTCGCTGATTTTGTTGATGCATGTCATCGTATCCCAATTGCGTGGATCGATGCTCATGATGTCAATCATTGGATTGTCCCGACTCGATCATTTACAGACCTAGTGGTCCTGCTAGAGGTGATTTTATCGAAGAAAATATATCGTCACGGAAAATTCTTGAAAAAGATAATTATGAAAAACACGTTGCAACAATGACATTTGTGTGGCAGACTATTTCTTTCTTTTTTTCAACAGTCTGCCACACAAATGTCATTGTTGCAACGTGTTTTTCTTTTAGAAAACCCATTCAGGCTCATAGCACTAATTAGAAAATATCTGGTATTACAGCTGCAGCTGAAATAGCATCCTATCTCCAGACAAAATCCCGGCCTCCCCGGCCCGATTCTTTATTGGATGTGTTAGTTCGCTTGTAAAGGGGTTTGCGACACCAGTATACAACGGGTTTGAATTAAAACTCAACACCAAACCATAACAGCATCTAATTGGCTTATACATGGGTCACTTTGGGATTATACAGGATCAGTGTGATTCATATTTGCAGAGTTGCATAAATTGGTCACGCCAGAAACCGTATCCCGTTTCACCCAGATTATGTTTCTAGGTTTGTCAGCACCATACTCGTGCCCGTGGGTTTCACCGAAGTAGAAACAAGTCTAAGACCTGCATCACTTCGGGCTTTCCTCCCACGTTAAGCTGACATGCTGTGATATAACTGGAATACTTATAAAAGTGGCGTTAACCCCAACTCTCTCACTAACCCAGTATTTGCAGTCAACACTGATGCTCATCAAAGACAGACCAGAATAAACTCGCATTATTATTACTTTGCAGCATGGTCGAAATAAGACTGTTGGACGGGTCGTTGGAAAAGTCATTTGGAGTCAGGTCCGCCTTCAGCATCGAACCTTATGGAAAGTGTTAAACGATTTCCGTCGGCAAAATCGGCAAAGCGAGAAGAATGGACCGTTCACAATGAGCTGTAACCATCGTTTTTCCTGCATTTGAATAAACGTCCACCTCGTTCAGAGAGTTTATCCATTCAAAATATATTTATTTTTGCCAATATTGTTGAGACCTTGGTTGAGCGGCCGCCCGGAGAGCGGAAGGTCGGGGGTTAGTCCGCACATAGATGGTTTGAAAAATGACACCTCAAAAGTTACGTCTTAATGTACAGTAAAGTACGTTTATAACGAACTCGCTTATAACGAACTGACCTATATAACGAACTTATTTTTAAGTCCCGACCATGTGTTGTATAAATGCTTTATATATGCCTATAACGAACTACGGTTATTACGAACTAAAATTAGTGGTCCTTTGAGTTCGTTATAACCGTAGTTTACTGTAGATGTCCACATAAAGACGTTGTTTAAAGATGCACGGAGGGGCGTCAAAAGGGGTTACCTCAAAACTTTAGGCACAGAATTACTCACCTTGTTGTCTCAGTCTACAGTACAGTGACTTGGCTGTGTCTTCCCGTGACCAATAGACCACCATTTCCATAATAAGAAACGTCTGGGGTGCCATTTTTCAAACATTCTACTTTCTACGGAAATGTATGATTTATCTGTGACATTTGTGGCACACGACTGTAGACTCCGCGGAAGGCGGCCTGTCTCAACCATATGGTGAGGTGAGGTGAGGTGAGGTGAGGTGAGGTGAGGTGAGGTGAGGTGAGGTTAAATGGGGTTTACTGTCACGTTCAACATAGATAAACGTGTGTGTGTGTGTGTGTGTGTGTGTGTGTGTGTGTGTGTGTGTGTGTGTGTGTGTGTGTGTGTGTGTGTGTGTGTGTGTGTGTGTGTGTGTGTGTGACAGTGCACTCCTCGCAGTGATAACAGCACTATAGCCAGGTCCACTGTGGGCAAATTCAGCTGGGAAGTTAAATCCTTCTCCTAGAGGTGCTGTGAAGAGAGTAACTGCAGTTCCTATTTGGATAGATTGGTCCTGATTTTGGGTTCCGTCCCTCCAGCACTTCATGATAATGTCGGTCAAGGTTAGGATTTTAGTGAGGGTCATCGTTAGGGCTAGGGTCATTGTTAGGGTTAGGGTTAGGGTTAGGGTTAGGGTTAGGGTTAATGTGAGTACTTCATGATAATGTCTGTAGTCTGATAACTTTTTCGCAGGCAAGGCTGGTCTGACAAGTGGCACACCATTAGCTGAAATGTCTTGTTTGATGTACGTCCTCTGGGCAAGAGGAGTATAACAGCTTCCCATTCAGTTGGGTCACAAATAGCTGATCATGAAAGAGGAGATTTAACCATATCTGAGTCGGCCAGTTGGGAGCTACCTGCATCCCTGTTTTTCTGTCCTTGTCTGAAGACATATTCGCCACTCTACGGATATGAGTTGGCCAGTAGGGAGCTACGGGCATCCCTTCAGCCTTGACCTTGACCTTGTCTGAAGACATATTCGGCACCCCAGGGATATGAGCTGTGGATAACCAGATACTCTGAGACATGCAAGACCAAATTACAGCTATCTGAATGACTAGTGTTCATAGTGCTTGATGCATGGCATTTGTCGAAAAAATGAATAGTCTGAGAAAATACTTAACAATAATAATTACGTTTGGGGTGGTTAGAAATGAATTGTCTGCCACAAAAATATATTGTTGCAAGAGGCTTTAGGGTCTTAGATTTAGTTAAATAATATAAGGGTTCAGGGCAGTTAGCAATTGCAGAAGCCCGATGTCTTCCATTAACTGCCCGACGAAGGAGGGCAGTTGAAAAGACCGAGGTCTACCGTTATTATAGCTAAAATGGATAGAATTTGTTATCAAATAAAAAGAAACAACAATTTCGATTTTGAAACATTTACTGCAATCAACACGAATGTCACTGATCCACTTTTACAAATATGGAAACGTCATAGAACAAACCAGATGACATCACTATTGAACGTTACGTCACCTTTCCCTATCCTATGACGTCACCTAGCAACGGGCGTGATAATGGCCCATCGTCAAGTAATATGAGGGCATTATCAAGTGACAGTGGCCTGCTCATTTCTGATAACATGCGGGCGTTTTTATGATAAGTCTATCCATTTTAGCTATAATATCTGGTTTTGCAGCTGTAGCAGAAAACAATATCCACTCTCCATACAAATATGGGAAACCAGGGCCACGCGATGAGATCTAATCTCGCCTCTCGGGCTCTGGTTGATCGACAGCAGTCACGTTTTTACAACCTGGTGTTTACGATAGTGTTGATGTCATAGGTCATAGGTCACATGTGGGAGGTCATAGGTCACGACGTCACCAGGATTGCTGTCATTCACGAAGCATGTGGCCGCCCTGTTGTAATGCAAAATGAATGTGTCAACAAACAGAACAAAAAAAGTGCTACCAGCAAGGCGGATGTCTGAACTCCAGACTGTAACGAACCAGAACCAAAACCATGAAATTTGTAGAACCCAGGCGAGCGAAACAAACACGCGAGAGAGCCTGCGCGTTTGCTGTTTCATTCCTTCTTAGCTTTCGGCCTCGAAGGGTGGTTTGGACGACGAATATGCATGAATTGTGCTAAAAGGTCCTGGGCACGATGACACTGGTTAGCTTAAAGGGAATTCCCTCCAGTGTAATGTTTTGTTTGTTTGTTGTTAAACCCTCTGGATGCCGAGTTTTTTTTCTGACGCACATTTTCCTAAGATCGGAAAAGTGAAGGTTGTACGAGAATTGCGCTCACGCGGCACTGGATCTACCTCTGGCTATAAAAATACGCAGAGGTGGAGAATATTAAATTTCCTATTTGATGGTGTAAAGTGAACTGCAAATATTGAACCGGTTTTAAAAAAAATACACTTCTAAGTGTTGCCCGAGAATTTTTTCTACCTTGAAAAACAGTAAATTTCTCCGCTTTTTATCGTACACCGATAAAAGTACTGTGCGACGAATTTTTTTTATTTACAAGCTTTACGGAATCTGTGAGCGAACAAAATACTGCCTAATATCTGAACGGCATAACTATATACCAAATGGAGTTATATGCGCATGTATAACGACAAACATGCAATGCCAAAAATAGCTTGCCGTAAATGACGAAAACTGATTTTTCTCTATGACGTCAAAAGGCGACAGAGAGGTTACACACGCACAAAGAAAAGGGGGCATAACTCCGCTAAGCTTAGCACTAGTTTATTGTAACTCAGGTCACTTGGTGAGAATTAACTGTGGGTAAGGATAATATATTTTCGTGGTGTTTTGTTCACGAGGAACCAAACTATTCCAACACAAATATCGATAAAGAAACTGTATACGTTTAGTTGTAAAATAAAACCCATAAGAAATGATGAAATCGTGCTTCATAAAAAAGTGGTAAAAGAGAAATGGATGGCCCTATCTAACCTATAACTTAGTCCTTAGATTCCAACATTCTCCTGAATGTGTAAGTGTAATTTGACTAATGTTGCACCATTATTAATGGAGCACTAGCCTTATCATCAAATGTAATGAAATAACCCAAAACAATAACACCGTTCTATTTGACGTCATGGCTGTTTTTATGTCTTTGATAAACTCGGAGAAAGATGACTCTGGTATTTTGATTAATATATATCTCCCCTAATTTTCGTTCAAGATATGGAAAATCTCGATGTGTAAAACGTAATTTGACGCTTTTTCTACACAACATAAAATGACTGCTTTCACCAATTAAATAATGTCTTGAATATGTAAACAATTAGCTAGTTTATCGTGTGTCTTAATTGGACAAGACACGCACCTGTTTGGCATCAATTTACGTAATGAAATACCCAAAAGAATATTTCAAAACAACCAAATTATATTCAATATTGGACAGATATTGTTATTATTTCTCTTCACCTCGTCTCAGAATTACACACTAAAAGATGCGAAGAAAGCTCTATTGGTATAGAATTATCAGGATAATCGTATACGGTTGAACCAACAGCTAGGGTACTTGGCATGGGTTTAATTTTATACATTTTACAATTCCTGGAGAAATAAAGTGAACAGTTTTATATCCTGTGATCATAATATTGAAAAAAGAATGAACCCATTGATTATATAATGCAAAACAAGAGGAATAATTCGTAAATTGTTTGTGGCTAACACGCACCTGGCGAATCGTTAGCTATCGCGGCTCTGTGTATCAAACGACAAAAAAAAAAAAAAAAAAAAAATTCCAAGACCAAGACAATTCTTTCAGAAATGTGTGCATATCTTTTTACGAAAAATATTATCCATTTTGTTAAAGTAACATAGATCTATTCAGTTTTAGTTATAAAATAAAATGAAACAGCTCTTCAAAGACATTGGTTGTATGAACTTATGACATTGACTATTACACATCCCAAGAAATACGTACATGCTGCAGTTTACCTTTACGCTTCATCTTGTAACACTTGTCCAAAGGAAAGAAATATCGTATTCGACACTAAAAACCTATCAATTGTTATGTAAACAATGTTCAAACAAACAGGAGATTACCAAAGGTTCGTTCATACATGTTGTGGCTTATATTTGCATATGATATCATTTTGAACATTGACAAATATCCAAAGGGAGATTAATTGTGTGAAAAAATGTATAAAACATATGCAAAATCTACATCATAACTGAAACTGTAAAAAGCATGTTACAATGATCGTGTGCACTCTCATTCAAGGACCTTCGCCTCAAAGAAATTACCAAATATGTACAACAATGTTGACGTATGACATCACTACCTGTGACCCACTTTTACAAAATGGCGTGTTCACTGTCAACAGTGCGTGGGATTTTACGAGGGGACTTTCGTTGATTCAGGGATCGTATATACATAAATGTGACATGTAAGTAGTCAGAAACATTCTGACAATCTATGTACTGTTATTTGTTGTTATAATCTTCATTGAAAAGAACCGAAATAGGCAGAAATTCCGATAAATACCGTTGTCGTTGTGCGTGATTTTGCGTCAGTCATGGCGTCACACAGGACGGTAACTTTGACAGTATCTGTTGAAAATATCAAATCATTGCAATGTATCTATTTTGAATACCCTAATTTTTCCTACTTTTCTCTTCCC